TAGAAGATTACTTCTATATAGCACCTGCTGTTGGCAATATTCATGATGTGCAAGGGAAATTGTCCTCAATTTTCTTTGAATCGCATGAAGTCTGCCGAATTTTGAAGCACCTCAAAAACTTCGCTACTGAAACATATGACAGCATACCTCAGATTGTATACAAGAAGTGTTCCTCATCTCTGGGCACACCATTAGAACATATTTTCAACATATCCATGTTATTAGGAGAGGTACCCGCACTTTGGAAGCACGCCCTTGTAACACCTATCCCTAAGGTCCAGGGCGCTAGGCGGGTGAGGGATTTTCGCCCTATTAGTCTGCTACCTACACCTGCAAAAGTCATGGAGAAGTGTATAAGAGATAAGCTTGTGTCCTGGCTTGATAAAGCTGGCATGGTCCCTGCTGAGCAGCATGGTTTCATCAATGGTGCCTCGACGACAACAAATTTGGTTGACAGTATTTATGACTGGACTCTTGCTTTAAATAGTAAAAAATGTGTGGATGTGCTTTATATTGATTTATCTAAAGCATTTGATAGGGTCTGTCATGATATGCTGGTGAAGAAACTCAAAATGATAGGCGTTGATGACCCGCTGCTCGCATGGTTTGATTCGTATCTGCACAACCGCTATATGACTGTAAGAGTTCATGACCGATTTTCGGATACCTATTCTTGTGCAAGTGGTGTTCCTCAAGGAGGAGTTTTATGCCTATATTATTCCTCATTTATACTATGGAGTTGCCTAACTTACTCCATACTTCTTAAAAGGTTAAAGTGCAAATGTATGCAAATAAAATAAAGATATACGGAATGTTTGATGCAGAAGATCGAATTGAGGTTCAATCAGCTTTACAATTGTCTCTTTCCAATCTGGTTGAATGAACAACGACTTGGAATTTAACACTCAATCTTGACAAGAGTTGCGTACTGCATATAGGAGAAATGGTTGTGCAGGTACTTATGTGGTTGAGGATCTTGCGTTGAGGTCATGCGCATGCCAGCTAGTGAAAGGTCGGGAGGATTTAATTTGCACTACGCCAAAGTCAAAAAGCACAATCTTGCAAAAATGCACAGTAACATATTCTGCAAGTCTGCTAGGTGGTTTCAGCGGTTGCCTATGGATGTTATGTGTTCTCAGAATGCACGCTCCTTCAGGGCTAAGTTGATGAGAGCTGACACACAGCTTGCATCCCTAAGCTTTTTGGAATGATTTTAATTTTGTCGTTTTTCAGTTACCAGTTCTTTATCTTCTTGGCTTTATGGCTGTTGGTATTACTAGCATGTCGGTTTTCGGTCCGCACGGTCATTTTTCGGAGCCGAGCCCTGGTGTTCTTCAGTTGCAGCTTGATTCTGTAGCCTGATTTTATTTATTGGTGTTACTAACCATAAGCATCATTACCTAACAACTGAACCAGCCCGGCTCATTCGTCAGAAGTTTTATCACATCTTATTGCCTTAACGAAGCCTAGTTTCCCATCTAGGGCACTCCAGATTGTGTCCGCCTAATGAAGTGCCTTCTTGAGTAGTTGGTAGATGTTTACTCTGCCACTCTTAATCTGAATCTTGCTTCCTTTAAAATTTAATCTTCAACGTGGTCAGGTCAGCTAGCCTTACCGGCGGGCTCATTGACACCCAAAAACGGGGCATCTTTGATTTTAGAGTGTGCAAGATTCATGTGATTGTTTTTGATCAAGTTACTTTCGTTCAACTTTACAAGCTGGGTCTAGAGCTTCGAGTTCTGTTTCATTCCGTATTTTCTTTTATCTTCTCTTGCAGCTGAGAACTGGCTGGTCTCATTGTTTGTTTGGATCTTCTTTTATTTCTTTGTTCTGGTGCACCTCGAGTGTATTTATAAAATAAAAATAAAATCTTATATATAAAGCTGAATGTCTGTATGTCTGTATGTATGTATGTATGTATGTATGTATGTATGTATGTATGTATGTATGTATGTATGTATGTATGTATGTCTGTATGTACGTATGTTCCGAATAGAAAATTCCATTTCTGAACCGATCCGGACCAAACTTGGCACACATACACTACGGGCCCCGGCGGGTGTCATAGGCTACTTTTCGTCATCGATCAATATCGATTTTATCGATTTTTATCGATTTTTTTGCTGAGTTCACCTACGGGGCTGGGAGTTGGCACAGGGGGGTAATCGAGCATGGGGATTCCGAATACAATATTGGTTGTCAGGATTATCGATTACTTTTATCGATTTTATCGATTTTTTTTGCAAAGTTTGCTACGGGGCTGGGAGTTAGCACAGGGGGGTAATCGAGCATGGGGATTCCGAATACAATATTGGTTTTCGGGATTATCGATTACTTTTATCGATTTTATCGATAAAAGTAATGGACGATCTTGAAAACTAATATTGTGTTCGTAATCTGCATGCTCGATTACCCCCCTGTGCAAACTCCAGCCCCGCAGGTCAAACTTTACAAAAAAAATCGATAAAATCGATAAAAGTAATGGACGATCCTGAAAACTAATATTGTGTTCGTAATCAGCATGCTCGATTACCCCCCTGTGCAAAATCCCAGCCTTGCATGTCAAAATTTACAAAAAATCGATAAAATCAATAAAAGTAATCGATAATTCTGAAAACTAATATTGTATATCCCCATGCTCACTTCCCCCCCCCCCCCCTGTGCCAACTCCTAGCCCTGTAGGTGAACTCTGCAAAGAAATCGATAAAAATCGGTAAAATCGACATCGATCGATAACGAAAAGTGGACTGTGACAACCGCCGGAACCCGAAGTGTATGCGTGCCAAGTTTGGTCCGGATACGGCGGAGCCGGGTAAGCCAGCTAGTATATATATATATATATGGCTGGCTTACCCGGTTCCTTCCGACCCTGTTAAAACAATATGATGAAGTTCTCAAGCTCTAGAATAGGAATGTAAACGCTGTTTATTGTTATGTGTACTCTCAATTGAAATAACTAATGTATGTTCCTTGTCCCACTTATAGCGACCCGTAGGGTCACTAGTGTGTATATAGCCGCGCAGAGAGCAGTATATGAGTCCTTGATTTCACCTCATTTTGATATCCATTCGTTTACACGTACACTCATCGTTCGTGGGCCAGTATTCCGCGGATGAAGTCTTGTTTTTTCAGATCAAGCGGAGCAGTCGTTGAACATTGATTAGGGGAACGAACTCCGCCAGTTTGGGCCGCCTCCGCAAATTACTGGTCCTGGAACGACATGCAGCAACATTGCAAAAGAACCAGTTGCCAGCGAAGACGGCTCAAGCTAGCAAAGTTTGTTTCCCTACATTATAGTACTTGAAGCATGCCGCGCTATAGCGCGAGTAAAGTTGGGAGTTGTTGTGTGATTGATACCGGGACAGGAGTGGGAACTTACCTTTCCTTAGCGGAGGCGATGACGCGGTCGACCCATGTAGATTTCACCGCCACGCTTAGAAATGAGTTGGTGTTTATCTGCGGTAGCAACGCGAATTTACCCCGTACCAATGATCTTTAGTTTAATTACTATCGTTTTTCAGTTTCGTTCGTAGATCTTTGTTTTTAGGTCAAATATAAGTAATGTAACTGCGGTTCGTTGTTGTGATTTATAGTCACTTAGTGGGGGTTTGTTGAGCCTACTGAGACGCAACGATACTGGTTTTGCTGTAATTCTGTCACCACGGCCAATTTTTGCATGTTTTCACCACAAGAGGGGAGCAATGGTCGGAGCCTTGAATTTCCCCAGCCAAAGCGTACTGTCAACGAAGGTAGCTCACAAATATTGTAATTTTAAGGAAATCTGGCAGCAACGACTGACTCATTCTCAATTACTTATATCTTCAATTAGAAATGACTGTCAATCAACGATATTTTGGTCATATGGCAAGCTACAGCTACTGACTAGGCATATTATGGATGCCGCTCTCTCATAAGTGCTCTGGCTGCTTTACAAAACAGCTGACCTAGATTTGTGAGTGCTGAATCAAAGAGGTAATTCTTGCTTACAAGAAGCGTTTCGTGCCGAAGCAAGATAGCCGCATATCGCTACATCTGACGATTACGAAGGATTTGGCACAGTTTTTCAAATGTCTGCAAGTCATCACTAAAAAGTGCTTATACGGTCCCTTCAGTTATGGATTGCTATCTTTTGGAGTTTGATCCTATAACTTAGAGTAAATCTTCTGAATAGATTGGTGTATTGATTTGGCATCCTTGCGCATCAAGAACACGTCTCAAAGCAACGCCTTTCACAAGCATCTGATTTTGATATTCAAGGAACTCGTCCAGCCCACAATCCGTTTGCTTATTCATCCTGATGGCCACGGTCTGCACGACTACCACTTGGTGTAAATGAGGTATAGATGAGATGTGGAGATTCAGGTCCGCCCTCGGACTTCCATTCTCATTATGGATCACAGATCGAAATGTGGGAGAAAAACGATTTGGCTAAAAGCCTTCTAAGTGCACATGCAATCTTTATGAACTCAGGTTAACTCGTTTGTTGTACAGAAACCTAGCTACTAATGCATACATGTGTTTTCGACCTTGACGATAACTTTGGACTACTTTTTTGCAACGATCTGCCTGGTCCTTTTATGGCTTTATTGATTTTCAACATTATATGGTGAAGTATTTTGCATATCAACAGCCAGCAAGTCACTCACGGTTTCGTATAAACGATAGCTTTCTTTTTAAGGCAAGTTGCGACTCTCAATGGTTTTAAATTCTGTTCAAAGTTCTTGCCGCAATCCTAAGTAATGGGAAAAATCGTAGTTCGTTGCATATTATCACAAGCTACGAATTTGAGTTGACAGAGTCGGAAATCATACTCGGTGCTCGTTTCATCAAAGATTGGCACGAATTTCGTTGTTTTACCTATCAAACACATTCTGCTTGCTCGTGGAATGTATTGAAGACGCCAAACTTCAGGAGTTTTCTTTCCTTTCACTCACCTGTAAAGGTTCTCATTTAATATCCTGACAACAAGTCAAATTTTACATATAGCTCAACAGTTTATCTTTCCTTCTTTACGATGGTGAAAATACTCTGCCTCAAACATCACCAACTTCTCAATTAACTGAAAATTTCATCTACTTTTTGACAAAGTCAAAAATGCTAATTTATACGCATAACACACTATGGCTGCAGCAGTGGCAATAATGGCTATTACAACAACCTCTCCATCGTTTACTTCTTACACACATAGTTCCCTTTTATGCGGCATAGGTCGTCATTCCACTTTCCGACTTTGTGTGTTCCCGTGAACATCTGAATGTATTATTATAAAGAAAATACAGAGTTTTGGATTATGATTGTTACGCGTACGCATCACAATTAGGTGCTGATGATAACTAAAGTCACTGATGATAGCCAAAGTCAAGCCCTATGCAGTGATGCCTTGCGTATCTTCTGCATGTAAAGCAGGAAACTAATTCGAATTTGAGATTGACGATAAACTGAATTCAGATGGGCCAGGCAATGGTAACGTGGGACAACGTAACCCACATGTTGAGTCATTGCTTGAATTTTGTCAGAATTACGACCTTGAGTATTGACTCTTATCCAAATGTTCTATTCGTTGATTGCGAAATACTATAGCTCTCATGTTTTCGGATGCTCCGAGAGCTAGTACATATACAGGGTGTCCCAAAAGTAAGTACACACTTTTCAATCGTCAATATCTTTCTTACGAATGCGTCTTTTTTTTGCCAGTGAAGTACCATTCTGTAGATTAGGGTTCACCTTAGATTTACAGTATCGAGCGAATCACCGATCGCTCTTCGTTATTGTAGGATTGAGTAAAAACTTCCAGCATGTGGAACCATTGTGCAACATGCCAGCTGACAAATTTTCAAAAAATCTGAAAAATCGTATACTAGGGTTTTCGCGCATGCTGATTCCACTACACTACTTTTTACGAGTGTTTCCAGCTTTTTTGACGGTGTAATTACATTTCTGACAAATACGAATTCGGCTATTACGGTTTAGCTGGGATAACCTTGGAAAGAAGCATCACAATGAAGTGGAAATTTCATATCCGAAATCAGCGACTTCCTACACCATAGTGTAAGAGTTTTTGGCTTGTTTGGTTTTGTTCCGAGGCAGAACATGGCTTCCAATGGCCTAAAATCTTTGTCGAAGTTCCTACCGCAACCCTACAGTAATGAAAAGCGGTCAATGCTTGGTTCCATACTATAAAACTAAGTTGAAGCACGCTCTACGAAATGGTACTTGAATGGCGGAAAAAGACACAGTGGGAGGAGAGATATTAACGAATGAAAAGTGTGTACTTACTTTTGGGACACCTGTATACTCTGAAGAGTAGTTTATGAAGTTTTAGCCGGAGTCAAGAAACATAAAGATGCAAAGTGACAGGGCTGACCCATATGTGGCACAACTTTTTGGTACAAATCTATTCAATTTTACATTTTTTGTTTTGAAAATCTCAAGTCTATCACAGAGTTGAATTGTGTAGGTAGAATATGACTAACCCACGACAAAATACCTCAACTTTTGATCATGATGTTCTCTAAACTTTTTGATCCGAAGGAGTAACCGGCGATGAATTTGTAAGAAGTTGCTGAGTTTGCTAGGTATTATCAACAATATCGACTTATTCGCGAAAGCAGACTATTTCAAAAGTGCCGGGCATAATTCATGCGATTTCAGTCGCGACGCGATTTGACAATTCGCCAGAAGCCTTCAGATCCAACACTAGCAAACTGCACATGCATAGTTTGTATAATCTATGTGGATTGATAAAATGGCCTATATTCCGTGCATATAGATACCCCTTACAGTGAGTTATGGACAGTTGGAATATTGCCAAATCGCGTCGAGACTGAAATCGCGTGAAGTATGCCCCTTGAAGATTCGAGACCATTGAATTGTAGTACGAATGAAGCCAAATGAAAACAAATATATCAGCTAGTGCACAATATGCTATGATTGGTCATCCTTTTGAGTTTAAGTAGTTTTTCGATTTCCTATCCCTGACTGTTGATCGTACTTCAGTGAGCAAATGAATTAAAGAAATGACGCTGTACCCAAACGCAGTATTCTTTGTGGAGCAGATTGTTTGGTTCCCCTTGGTTCCACAAGTTGTAATCGATTTTGGTATCATCGGTCCATCCCCATTTGGTACCTGGCTTTCTATACATTCCTATCCAAGCAATTTTTTGTTTCGTTTTCAGCTTCTTCAGAAGATCTGAAACTCAAGATCATCGTGATAGCGAAAAACATTAATTTTTAAGAAACATTGGTTTTTAGGATTTAAAACTGACTTAAACCTTTTAAAGATAAGCAACGTACACTGTAATCCATTCTTAAAACAATTTAAAAAGGAAATAATCTATATGCCGAAAGAGGACAAGCAATATAGAACAAGAAATACGGAATTTTGGACCCATTGGCCTATAACGATTATTTTACATGATAATTAAAAACGTATCCATCCATGACCTGAAAAACCAGAATGACGCTCATTGTATTCTGTCCAGACGGCCCACGCATGTTACTTTTGGTATTTCCACTTTTGGAACACCACATGTGTAAACAAAAAAATCTTATGCTAGAAACCACTTAGTGAAAAGTTTTTAAGGCAAGATATATGGCCAGATCTCGCGGTTTTTTGAACTTGCTTGGCGTGCTTATTGCGAATGTCATATAATTGATGCAAAAGTTTTTGCGTAATTTGAACAAAATCCATCGAACTTTCAGACGTGAGTATGAATGCACGCTTTTAACTGAAAAATTAGAAGGTTGTTTGATTTCTATAACAGTAGTCTGATAATCAATCATTCGAAATGACCTGAACGAGGTGCATAAAACTGAAAGTTATGGGGCCCGTGTAACCGAACAACGTTGAGATGTAGTACTCTCTCTGCTTTTCGGAACGTTTTTAGAGAAACTTTCCGAACAGCAACTCAAGCCCCCAGGCAAGTTTGGAATCACGATGACTCCCGTCATCTGCTAACAAGCGAAGAACTCATTGCTGGAGTTCGACCAAATTGCGAAGATGCCGCTGAGCGATGTATGGCTTAGCAAAAAATCAGCAATTTGTATCTTCAGACAGTAGCACAACTTTCATGAATGATAAATACAATGGGCTTGTATCACTTATTTCTGATAATAATCTGTGGTCACGAAATTGCTTGAGGCATGATTAGTTTTTTCATAGTAAGGAACATTATTTTTGGATAGTGAAGGTGTAATGGTAATTTTCCTCTTTGAAAAACTAATAGGTAAAACAAAAAATTTGTGCTCGAAGACCTTACTTTGTTCAAAAGGACAAATTTTTCTTGTTAAACTGAAGGATTCGTGAACTTTTTCCAAATGAATTATTAGCTCGATGTATATTTAGCATTACTAAATGAGAACTGACCAACAATAAAGTTTTCTTCTCCATCGCTATGAATTGAGGCTAGGTTGGCATTCATTTTATTGCATTCCTCTTCAGCTTTGCAAAAATTCAGCTGACCATCGAACGCCTAAAAGAAGAGTGAAATAGAGCTTCACAAATTACAACTTACGGTTTTTTCGGTCTTTTGACTTTTTTCTTTCCTCTGTGTATCATTTAGCAAAACTGGAGCTAGTGTTCAGTGAATCTTCCATGTATGTGAACCTCAAATTCAATTGAGGAGCTAATTGCTGCTCTCACTTACACTATTCTTTAGCTCATGTGCACTATTTTTACAATTTCGCTGTCCATTCTTTAGATATCCGAAAGCGCAGGGTAAAATATCAGCCACCATGGCTAAAAGTTACACCATTTTGAGCAAAAAGCATCCAGAGCTCATAGCAAAGATAGTGTTTACATCAGCTACTTCTAAAAATAATAAAGTCACAGATTTTAAGAGTACGATGGCCCACCCATGGCTCACTTATATAAGGCCCATCAAGAGAGGGGGTTATGGTCACGCAATGGCATGTTCGGACCAAAGAAAAAATAAGCGCGTCTTGTACTCGTAAAAACAAGATAAATTATAGAGCTTCGATTATTCATGTTTGACTGAATCAGAAGCACTTTCATGACTGTATATGCTAATTTTTCGTACCTGTGGCCAGTATAACGTATGAATTGTCTATTTTTGAAAAATTTCCAAAATTTCTAGCATTTTTTGACCTATTGCAAATTGATTGCTAAGCGTTATTAGGAGGACTCCACTACTTTTTGGCTAAACTTGAAACAAATTGATTGTAAAACTTTTTAGAACCATATAAGCTTCCATTTGCCTTGTAGCTATGGTCCTTGTACTTCTTCCAACCTCCATCATCTGACGACACTTTGATTGAAATAACCGTTATAAATATGAATACTTCGAAAAGCATCATAGGTGCCAATACAGAACCTCAAAAGTCTATATCTTTTTAAGTTCGAATGCTGTGAAGCCAATTGTTCTTACGATTAGATGGTTACGATGGTCACTGTCACTGACGAAGTTTTGGAAGGGATGATGAAGACAAAAAAGGTTGCGTTGAGTTTCTGTATGCTTGGGAATGACTGCTAAGCACTGCCAACTATATTTCACCATTGGAAATATCTACAACGATGCGCATTTTTATGCAATGCAATTTTTTCTTCTATGAATCTGCTATTCAAATGAGCGTCTAAAGAAATGTCTTTGTGAATTACAAAAACGTTTCATCAGTGACCATACAGGGATAGCTTTGAACAATAGTAAGATTTCGATACGTAAGATTTGCTGTTTCAACTATCGAAATATTAGTAATTGCAATGTCGCTCACATAAAAGATGTTGCACTAAGATTTATGATTGGCTTTGCAGTTTTCCATTTAGTCGTTGTAATGCTGTTCAGCCTGCGCTTTTTGTAATTGTTATCGCGACTCTCAACTCTTGCTGTCAGTGCTGTGCTCCTCTGCACAGGCGTGCAGGAACAGAGAACAACCATGATGGGTACAAAATGACGTCTACCCTCGTGTTCTTGAGAGCCTGCCACGATGCTCAGCGACATCACTTTCAATGCGTGCCCTTAGTTACCAGCCGCCTCTAGCTCCTGCCCCCGTGCGACATGGTGGTACTTGTGGAAGCGAAACGAGAACTTTTTTGGAGTGTACTCTATTTACTAAGGCTGGGTTCATACTGATTCCGAAGTTCCGGAACGATGCCAGCACAGTTCTCGCACTGTGCTGGAACAGCGGGATTGTGCTGCAAATGCTGCAGCCGCCCGCATGCGATTTGAGCGCTGCGAAATGACAATTTTCGATTTCTTTCGTTTTCATAGTGAATTTTGCTCGTTTTACCTCATTCTTGTATCTCGCTCGTCTTGGGATTGAGAAAAGTTCCAAACTTAAAGGGGGGGGGGGGGTACAAGAATGAATGCTATTTCGTTTTATCCATAGCTGAAAACTGCCACAAATCGATGCCGCTTCCATTCGCGCTTTCTACAAGTTCGGAGTTTTTTCATCAGAAGCGGAACAGTAATCAAAAACGAAAAAGCAAGCAGTAAAGTTGTGTAAAGAAGTGAGGCTAAAACTCCCAAAAAACCCAATATCTTGAAAACACAGGGAAAAATTCGCGATCGCTGTTGATGATTCATGTATCATCAACCTCAACAATTCTATAATCCTAATAGGTCACGGGTATTCCCCACAGGCTACATTCGCCAACCGCTTATATTCAAGTGCCGAATCACTCATCAGTGAGTGGCACCTATCTTCCAAGGGCCGCGCCAAGCCGCGGCATCCTCTTTCTTGCATATATTTATTTCCTGGACATTCCGATTGTGCATGGGTCAGCTCCGCCTTACTACCTATATAAGGAGCCCCCGATTGTATTATAGGTTGCTCCCCGGTTCAACACCGGGGTTCGTCTCAATAAACAATTCTAACCACTCCACTATCGTCAGCGAGACATTGGTTCCCACCAAAATCGCAATCGAAATGGTTTTGTCAGTCCTCCTTGAAGACAGCAGAAGATATCGAGGATGCAGCGACTTCTGAAGAACAAAACGAGCGTTTAACAGAAAATCACGAAGGAAGGGGCGCGCAGAGAAATTTAATAATTTACGCAAGACATTGCATGAAAGGTTTTATTCTCGAATCCCGCTTTAGTCCCGCTTTCATAATTCCCCACATCACAAGAGGAAGCAAGATGCGAGAATGAGACGAAAATGAACAAAGTTTACAATTAACTCGTTGAAGGAAGCCGAAATTTGTCATTCCGCACCGCTCAAACCGCATGCGGGCGGTTGCAGCGCAGGCAGCACAACACCAGCACAGTGCAAGAACTGGGCTAAAACTGTTCTGGAATTTCGGGATCAGTATGAGCCCAGCCCAAGACCCTAACGTGATGCTAACCTTTATTCATAAGCAAGCTTCTCCCTTTAACAAGGTCGGGCTATCACGCCGTTATTTCCGGCCTTATCCTATCCTCCACAAAAAACCTAACCGGTCCACTATCTATCTTGCAGACGCATCACTGCGATTTGAAGAGCGTCAACCACCATCAAGGGTTCGGCAAGTTAATACGTTTCGGACCGCGATATCGCATGTCTCATATATATAATATCGTGCTACACCATGGTTAGCACGAAGAGCGTTGGGGACCGACTTTTTTCCGCTGCATGATTCCTTCTCAAAATTATGAACAACGTGGGTAAAGTGTAGTGTTTTGCACTTCTCTTGCGTAAAAGCAGCTTGTTCATCATTTGAAGTCATGGTCCTTTATTTTTTATAAAAGCGGCATCTATATGATTACCCCGAAATCCGTGCTTCAAAATTTCAAAATCATGGATTTCTCTCAAATTTGGTCATGGAGGTTATCTGACATAGCAACCATAGATATCACTCTTTTCTTTCACAAAAAGTCCTTCCTATGTGGATAAAGTCGCCATACAGAAAGTGACTCAGTTTTGCTCAGAACTTACGGGGGTACGAGGTTGTACGGGGTGTATTCAGCATCTTGATCACAATTATGATCTCGCTGTGCCTGAAAGAGTCAAATTGTCCGCTTCAGGTATGTGATCGGATCCGGTCGACCATATATATATACTGTAACAGCAGAGGTTCGCCTAGTTTGCAAAATTGACACCACATCCGTGGTCAGCGTGCTGAACTACCCCATACAGACCAAATAATTGTCAAATTTAAGATTTTGAGTTTTTTTGTTCATTCCTGAACATGTACTAAAATTAAGATTTTGATATTCGTGCAGCAAACCTTTCTACGAACCCTGGAACGGTCTACGCAATTCAAAATAGGGTTGGTTCGTTTTCTAATTAGCTCTTGTAGTCTTGTATATCATCCAACGCGCGGAATTTCCTTAAAAAATGCGATTTAGCCAGTTAAAAATGAGCTGCTGAAGCTAAAGATTCTGTCGCACGCGACGTTCGCAGCATCGCATCGAGCAATCCTTTATGGTTGCCACCAGGGTGAAGCGGGGGGTGCGGCACGCCGCAGGGGGGGGGGGTCGTAAGGGGGGGAGGGGTAGGTGGGGGGGGGGGGTCGTATCGACCCAAGGTCAAAAGCACTTGTACAAGCTGTGTGACTAAACTGACTTGATGAAAGCGCTGTTGAAATCCTGCAAAATTCAAGTTCAACGACACAAACTTGCAGATACCGTATGCCTACCGTAACCTACCGTACCTCTAATCAAGCATAATTGTCGTAATCCGCGTGTCGAATAACCCCTATGCGCCAAGTTTCAGCGAACTCTGAGGTGTCCGAGCAGTAAACAACCTTGTATAAAGCAGTAATTTAAAACATGATTAACTTCATCTTAACGGTGAGTAAGCTACCTCTTCTTGCACTCAATACAAAGCACTACTCCTTCTTTACTAAGAAGGAGTAGTGCTTTGTATTGAGATTCCACTTCAGGAATCCCGCTTCAGAAGACCTCCAAACCATTGAATTAGAAGCCAACCAAAATCGCTTTTAGCTTTTGATCTCTGTGCTTTCACCAAATATTACTCAGAGCTAAGAAGACGAATCAGGCTCAAAACATCCCTATGGAATCTATGAGGTTTAGGCTATTGATTCATACAAACATTGTCCGCTAAAAATGTTTTTTTGATATAGTTAATGGCCTGCGGCACCCCCCTCAAAACCTGCGGCTGCCGCAGGTTTTGAGGGGGGGGGGGGTGCCGCAGGCCATTAACTTACCTTCAAATCGTTCAAACAGCTGCCTTTTTCATATCATCCTATAGATTCATCCTTCCTCTCTCCGTAGTAGCTGTTTCCCCTCGAACCTTTTTCTTTAGAAGGAAATACATATGGTTTTTGCGAACCATATGCTGGGAAGTGTGGCCAAAAAATATTGGGTTACGGTAGCGCTCGAAAGATTGTCAAAATACACAGAGGCGCGAGATACGCGCCTTTGAATCCCACTCTCGTTATAGCTGTGATGTTCTCGCTTTTTTGTTCTTTTTCATCACTTGTTTCTCTCGTTGTTCTTTCAGAAAACTTGCAGATGAACTGCAGATGAACAGAAAACTTCAAACTGACTACTTGCAGATGGTTGGACGTTGATGTTTGGTTTGGGTGGTATGTTTGGCGGCTTTGGACAAAGTACAGCAAGGATAATCAACAAAGAGGATATAAAGGTTTGCGTGGAAATTCTTTGGATAATACATTAAGTCTTTCTGTTTGAGGTCGCCTTCAAAGATGTTGCTGGTTGTGAAGAGGCCAAGATAGAAATCATGGAGTTTGTAAATTTTCTTAAAAATCCTCAGCAGTACAAAGACCTTGGCGCAAAAATTCCCAAAGTAAGTTGTTATTTTTCTTACTTCTCCCCCTTGAATTGAATTTTATTTTCTCAGGGTGCAATATTGACTGGTCCGCCTGGTACCGGTAAGACTCTGCTTGCGAAAGCAACTGCCGGTGAAGCTAATGTGCCATTCATCACTGTGTCCGGCTCTGAGTTCCTTGAAGTTAGTTATCAGAGCTCTTACATCCTTGAAATGATCTGAAAGATGATTTGCAGATGTTTGTTGGTGTTGGTCCAGCTCGAGTTCGTGATATGTTCGCAATGGCAAGAAAAAACAGCCCATGCATCCTTTTTATTGACGAAATTGATGCTGTTGGTCGTAAGAGGGGTGGCAAAGGTGGAATGGGAGGGCATTCTGAACAGGAAAACACGCTGAACCAACTATTTGTGGAAATGGATGGTCAGCACTTCCATACTTCAATTACCTCTGATATTGCAGACTTGTGATTTAGGTTTTTCTACCGAAGAGTCGTCTGTGATAGTGATAGCCGCTACGAATAGAGTAGATATCTTGGACCCCGCTCTCTTACGACCCGGACGTTTCGACAGGCAGATTTACGTACCAGTTCCGGATATCAAGGTGCGTCCTAGCTTTTGTTCTCTTCCGATTTTGTGTGAAACTTACATGGTCGATTCTTTTAATGTTGCTTTTCTCGCTGTATTGTATATGTATTTTCTAAACATTTTGCATTGGTTCAGTGGCATTACTTTTGCTTAGATGTTGCGGAAAACAAACAAAGGGTCAGATTTGAGACGGAAAACTGCTCCCGAATTTCTTTCTTCCTTTGAAACTGTCCATTTTGCTAGTGCAATAGCAATCAAAATCTTCACTAAGTTTTTAGGGCCGTGCTTCATTATTCCGAGTTCATTTGGCTCCTTTAAAAACATCGTTGGATAAGTTCAAACTGTCACGGAAGCTTGCTGCGCACACTCCTGGATTTTCGGGTAATTTGCTATCACTTTTGCTTTAAGCTTTCGTTTTTTTAAGCTCAAGGGTGGGGAGAGGGGGTGGGGTAGGGAATGGGGGGGGGGGTCGTGCCGACGGTCGCGTGCCGCACCCCCCGCTTTACCCTGGTTGCCACTTCTTGGTCTAAACTAAATAAGCTAACGCAGGACCAGAAAGGTATGTTGGACAGTAAGCTTATGTTTATTGTCCAACATGCCTTTCTGGTTTTGCGCTAGCTTATTTCCTATACGACTTCGTTGTTACGTTGGACGGAGACCGATTGTAAGAAGCAGGAGGCTACTGCAAACTCAGCTATGCACCATGTGCAGCAGCGGTCGATGAAACTTTAAAGTATTTCTTGCGAGGTGCAGTTCAGGCCCACGGGTTAGCTTTATTGCGCGGTCAATCCTCCTAGATGTAGATGTCTGACGCCAGATGTTGTTGACGGCGCTGCTCCTTCGACTGATGTCGAAGGCCATTTGTGAAAATGACCGGTTTCTGGCAGCAGTTGAAATAAAATTGAGGGATGTCATGCGCTATTCATACGGCGGTAAAAGCAGCCGAAGGACGAGCGACAAAGCACTGTTGCTTTCGGAACATTTCGCCGGTGACCGCGTACTTCCTAAAAGAAGTCGCGTATCTGCGGCTGCTGTTACCGTCTGCGGAATTTCAATCTTAGCCTATGAAAACTACGCTTTACTCTTTTATTTTATTTTTATTTCATTTTATTCAATACGCTCTTGGCGATTCTTACAAACGAACAAAAACACACAATTACAGATAAACTAACCACAAGAATAAGATCATCATGTAGTTCAGATCTAATCCTTTAAATTAAATTAGTAAATGCAATGATACAGCCTGTACGTGACTGCTAAATGACTACAAGTTCTGTATTGAATGAATGTGATCATGGAGATGGCAACCATGATACCATTTTACTTGCCAATCAGACTGTTTTTCTAGTCTTTCTACGCGGCAACCCATCGAACAGCGGATAACATGAATGTACTAGCGGTCTGCAAACCTTATGTAATTCAAGGGTCTTCGAGTCGTTTGTAACTCAATATGTAAGTCGGCGCACTATGCGCGATAACCGATGACTCTCTCACCAATGGTATCTCAGTATTCTTCTTGTAGCATAACAAATTGTAAAAAGTACTAGTTGATACATATCCAATCATTCGAAAAGACAAGGAGACAACGAGCCACAGAAAACGTGCGGGTTTTGATCTCGAAGATTGTTAGGTAGCGTGCATGGTATGCATTACTAATCTGGAGTTGTTGTAAATGTTGGTTGCTGTGATCAGTGTGAACAGACTGTGTCATGTTTCAACACGCAGTTCACGTAGTCAAAGGCGAAAGTGAATAAGAGTTTGCTTCTATTTCGGAATAAAGCTACTTCACATCAAAAAAAAAATGCAACGAAAACAATGGCAACCACAGCGCCAGATAAGTCGGGTTGGGATGACTGCTAGAGACTGCTCTGCAAAGGGCATATCCATTTATCTTATCTGCTAGAGTTCGGAAAATGATCTAAACAGGCAATTGATGACTTTGGTTTTATTAGAGTCAGCATCATTTTTGTAGTTTCTACTCATGGTTGCTGCCGATCAAATCAAGCCTTGGTAACTAATTCAGGCTTTCACAATCATATCAAATGAAGCGTTGAAGATCTTGAACCGCAACTTCATACTCAAACCGTCGAAGGGATACCTCCAGAGCAAAAATGGGAGGGTCCCGGGCTCTACCCAGTTGAAGTATGCCACTCGTGCTCCGGGGCCTTGCCATTTCATCCATTTTGGGGGCTCCTCCAAATCTGGTGCATCTCCGGAGCAGAAAAAAGCAAGCCCCGGAGAGGGGTCCCATTTGCCTTCTTGTGACGTCACCGTGACGAGCTTGCGATGGGTGGCTATTAAATCTGCTCATGAACAGCTTGGACCTGTGATATGCCAGCCATTTTGCGCATGAATGTCGGCATTAAACAGTGGCTCCTACCGTTTCGGACAATATTGTACTTCACCATTATTGTGCGGCTTTATAAATTTTGGGACATACAGCAAACATCCATGCAAGCTCTCCAAATAGTCCTATTTAGATGTACAGAATGATAGGGAAGATGCACTGTGAAAGACGAACTTGACTACTGATTCGCATGCGCTCACTTTCAATGCGCTAGATGTGCCGCAAGAATACGCGAATTTAACATAAAAGGGTTGAAGAAATGCGCGAGTTCATCCAAAGCTTATCAATCCTTTTGGTATCATTTTCCTCAATTTTTCGCTTGCGTGAGGCCTCGGAGAGAGTTCACGCGATTTGATCGTCTCGATTCAATCGCCGCGATTCCCATTCATTTTCATTTTACGTTCAAAAATTTCGGGCTGGAAAAGTATCACAACCGAAATGCAAGCTGGTCGGCATGCAATGAACTCGTAACAGTTGTCTTGTCGCGATTGAATGGCGACGATCAAATCGCGTAAACTCTGCCCGAGGCCTGAGAAGCTGAAGACTACGTGTATGATAGCATTTTATTTACCATTGTAAATTCTGAAAAAGAGACCGGGTAAATGAAACCTCGAAAGGCTATCGTGCTGAGAAACCGGTCATCTTTCTTAATGGGAGCACGATAGTGTAGAGAAATTTTTTGCAGGTTTTAATCTTTGTTCGCAGGAAGTGATTAGCTTAGGCAAATGTAGGATTCTGTAGAACCTAGCGTTATGGCATACTACAAGTCGGACCTTGCAAATTTTTATTGAGAGGGGATTTTTATCATTATTGCTAGCGATACTAACCAGGGAAGGCACCTAAAGCTTGGCCTTAGTGAAAGAGATATATATATATATTCTAAATCAACTTCAAACGCTGCCCAGGTATCTATTCTAAGCTGCGGCGCATCAATCTGGAGCGAGATGTTGACTTTTTTCTGCAAAATCCGCATACTCACCGCTCTATTGGCGTCACAACAACATCATTCCAAGGGCTAATACGCTTGTGCTGTGTGTCTTTTCCGTGATAAAACTTCGAGCTGACGTTTCTTCAATATACCACCAACTTTTCGGGCAGAATTCTACTTACAGGCAGCTTTCCCATGTTGTGCGGTGTACCAATTTCGCGCAGTAAAAACCTAACTCGTTTCAAAATATGCGCTTTAGCCAGAAATAGCATATTTGGAATCAGGATTCTAAGCTAATTCAGAGTATGCTTGTGTCCTTAAGACCTAGCTAACACGGGAAGGATCATTGCTCAAAGGGCCGCAGTTACATATACTCTTAAAAATGTGATTCCAAATCTGTCTTCCTTATCTTCAAAGCGCTTCTGAGTAGTAAGATATGAGCCTCTCATGAGCCGAAAAATTGAAAGCGCGACGAGGAGAAAATTGATTCTGACAGCCCCAACCACATATAAACTAGTTTTAGTAAGCTATAACAAATGGAAACTTTTTTGTATAGACGTGGTCTAACAAACGTCTGCTCCTTTCGAGCTTACGGGAAACATACGTGAATGATTTCTTTCTTCCCATGCCTTCAAATTTTGGCCTTAAAAACTTTCATGACTCCTTGCTCAGCGGCGCTCCGCAGATAATGAGGGCAGATTTGGAATCTGCGCTCGATATTTTCCCTCTATATGCACCTCATCTGAAAAGATCACTTCGACCAAGAATCCTTTCCTGGTAAGTTAGGTGCCTTTCCTTATAAGTAAAATATGTATTGTCAAATCTTCGTGATTTTTCAGATTCTCGTAGTTAATGCTACCAGTACTACAATATGCTATCATGTATTACCACATACTACTGATTTTCGTGATACTCACTGCATTTTGCACTGGAAAACGATCAAAACTGGTGATTTACATTTCAATTTTGAAACTAAGCGATTCAATAGGCAAAAAGCAGGACTCATTCTCGTTACTTGTGCATAAGGCTTGCTCAACATTTTTAGCGATTCATAGAAAATATTCAAAACGAAGGGTAACACTGGGTAACACTACATATGCTGGCTGGAATCACGCGAACAGCTCAGTAATATTTTGATTTCCAACAGTTGTGTACTGACCAAGTTATTTGTCTTTTTGTATCCATATGAGAGATGGAGCAATCACATCAAGATGCGAAGAAGAATACAAAATTAAAAACTGTTTTAATCTCGGAAGCCTTTTATGGCAATGAACCTAAGAACCTATTGAAACAATATGTTGAAGCTGCACAAGTAAAATTCACAAATTAACAGTGGAGATACAAATAATGAAATATTGTGATTGGAGAATTCCAAAACCCTCTCCCTCCCGTTGTAGATCGAACAGTCTTGCATAAATATCATCTTGCTTACCCATCACTACGTTCTCCAATCTGTCTGTTACTTTAGAGTTCGAGCTGTCAAAAGTAGTGCAGAGATTTCAGATTCTGGGATATAAAACTTACATACACCGCATAGTAGTCCAAACAGGAGTCAGTGTTTTGTTTGTGGATGTACAATCTTCAAGCCGAAACAGCCCTAGGAAAATCGCGTAGTCTCGTATTTTTACCATCAAACTAGCTTGCTTACCCGGCTCCGCTCGGCCCTGTCAAAACACGGTAATAAAGGTCCCATCCCTATCCCTGTACAGCCTTTCCCCGGACCCACTTCTACACTTCATTTCCCGTTCCCTGTGTTGTAGTCGAAGTCAGCATGCCCACTTACCCCTCCGTGCCAAATCCCAGCCCTGTAGCTCAAGTTTTGCAAAAAATCGATAAAATCGATAAAAGTAATCGATGATTCTGAAAACTAAAAGTGTATTCGGAATCACCATACCCACTTACCCCTCTGCGCCAACTCCCAGCCCCGTAGTTGAACTCTGCAAAAAAAGCGATAAAAATTGATGAAATCGATATCGATCGATAACGAAAAGTAGCCTGTAACAGGTGGTCCAAATCGGTTCAGAAATAAAAAATTCTATTCTGCACATACGTACAGACAAACAGCATACAGACATACACACATTAAGCCTTATATCTTACTAGATGGCTTACCCGACTCCGCCCGGCCCTGTCATTATTTTATTAATCAGCATGCTCGATTACCCCCTGTACCAACTCCCAGCCCCGTAGCTCAAATTTTGCAAAAAATCGATAAAATCGATATCGATCAATGACGAAAAGTAGCCTATGACACCCGCCGAAGCCCGAAGTGTGTGTGTGCCAAGTTTGGTCCGGATCGGTTCAGAAATGGAATTTTCTATTCGGAACATACGTACAGACATACAGACAGACATACAGACAGACATACAAACAGACATTCAGCTTTATATATAAGATATAAAGCTGAATGTCTATGTCTGTATGTATATGTATGTATGTACGTATGCTCCGAATAGGAATTTTTGATTATGAACCGATCTGGACCATTGCACATATAGACTTCGGGGCTGGGCGGGTGTTATAGGCCACTTTTTGTCGTTGATCGATATCGATTTTATTGATTTTTCAAAAAGGTCGAGCTAAGGGGCTGCGAGTTGGCACAGGGGGGTAAGTGGGCATGCTGATTACGAATATACTATTGAAATGGCCGCGGAGCCGGGTTTGCCAGCTAGTATAAGATAAAAGTAGATTGACTTTTTGTTTTCTCGAATAAAGCTCTCACGCACATTCAGTTAGTTTAAATTCAGCCAATATCACCTTTAAAATACGATCCGGATGATCCATCAACTTGGGCGACCATTGATGACACAGAGAAAACATCCGAACAGAAAGCGAAAAGCGGAAAGTCGAGTGGAAAGAACATATCGAAGAGTCCTTTGAAATCAGAAGTCAAAAGTATGTTCGAAAAGTAATGTTCAAATCTTATAGTGCCAACTTAGCTCTTCTCCGCGCGCCCAATGACATGGAAACCGTGAACGACATGGTGAGCGCATGGGGCGCTGTCCAAGAGGAGCAAAATCCTCGCTCTATCAATGTTCCAGTAAAAACTTAATAGTGCAGCTTATCCTCTATTTCTGATATGATAACAGGCCGTTCGTTGTACGGCACATTTTACTAGCCAATGCTGTGCAAATTGTGAGCTATTAGGAGATAAAGTTAAGGATGTTATTTGATCTTTATGTTGCCTTCTGTATCGTGAACATCGGTGTGAGATGATAAATCGAAGCTATTTTGCTAATGGAAATGATTAGCTAGAATATTTAATACTCGGAGAAATGATAGAAGCAACCATAGTTACCGCATAACTTTTTACTCGTAGAAGATGTCCCACAACAAATGCTCGGTATCTATATTAGTTACACCAGTCTATTCAAAGTAAGGCTACTGCATGACGAAGGCGCAAAATTTGTACTAGTTAAACGCAACGAGCGCCTATCTCCACTGTTGTAAATGCTGCGCCGCGTGCACCCTGCGCCCAAAGGTATTGCGCTTTCGTCATGCAGCAGCTTACACAATCAGCGTAGATCATCTCCACTACTATTTCTGTAAAACCCGAATACTCGTTTGCTCAATTCTATCACGTGTTTTCACAAAAAGCCGTAAACGAGCACTCAGATGTTTTAATCTTGCTAATTTTTTCTAGCCTTGCAGAGAGAAATTTTGGATATTTTTCAAAAGAACTTCCCAGACACGAGTTGAATATGCATTCCAAGCTTTCAGCTTATGAGCGACAGGATAATGTTCTCCATAAAGACCTGTTCCTCATATAATCTGCGGAATGGTGCAGCCGGAGTCCTGAGCAATTTCGCATGGCACACATCACCAGTATAGGGAGTCGGTCAACTCAGAGATGATAAAATGATGCGAGAATTTGAAAATCGCATTTCAAACAAAGAGACTATCCGACCGTACCAATGCGCAATGAATCAAATCTTTCCCGCATTCGTTTAAATGCATTATTGTGGTTCTTATAATCGAGCTGTAACTTTTTCGTTCTAGTAGTTCTTTTTTTAATACGTTTTGGACACATGGCGCAGCACGCTGCTTCGAAGGATCTTATTACGTTTATAGGAGGGTTTTTTACCCCAAGGTTATCAATTAAAATGCCTAAGCTCCTACTTCTCAATGATTTGTAGAGCACTGTCGCCGATGTTTGTTCAGAAAACATGAGAACATCGAATACTTGCAACATAGTGCGGCAACGCGAACGACGCATGACGTCGCAACTTTTTTTGCGTCAATTTTGAAAAAAAAACTGTATTTCTTCAAAACTGTAGTTTCAATGATGATCTGTACCGTGTGCAACATAAATACTTGGATACTATTTGAAATTGACTTCTTGTTCCTGTCTCTCAAGAAAATACAAAAGTCCTTCCATAGCTACAAAATTCAAACACTTCAAATTCGCTCAGAACTTTGGGTATGGAGCCTGCTTAGCATGCTGATTACAGATGTAGCACACAATCTACGAAATAAGGTCTCTTTGTGGCCAATGCCTGAAAGTGTAGTCTCTTTGGTGCGCGCTTTTTCGCGGTCCGAAATATGTTGTTAAACAAAGAATTGGATGTTCTATAAAATGTAGTTTTAGTTCGATTTTTTCGCAAAGGTTGAGCAACGGGGCTAAGAGTTGGCATAGGGGGGTAGTCGAGCATGTCGATTACGATTACGATATTAGTTTCTGAAATTATCCCTTGCTTTCATCGATTCTACCGCTTTTTTTGCAAAGTTTGAGCTACAGGGCTGGAAGTTGGCACATGGGGGTAGTTGAGCATGCTGATTACGAATACGTTATTAGTTTTTAGATTCATCTATCACTTTTGTCGATTTTATCAATTTTTCGCAAAATTTGAGCAACGGGGCTGGTATTTGGCACAGTGGTGTAAGTGGACATGCTGATTATAAAACGGCGGGAATATGGCATGTAGATGTGAACACAGGAGTGGTTGTACAGGGATAGAGATGAGAGCTTTATCATAGTGTTTTGACAGGGCAGGGAGGAGCCGGGTAAGTCAGATAGTAAACAAAATGGCTGCGCAAAAAAAGAATATAAAAGCTTTTTTTATAACTATTACGCGCGTAAGAGAGTTCGAAAGGATGGATGTAAATGAGAAGCTTGACGAAATCGTCACTTTTTAATTATATGCATTGTGCAAAAGTACTCAGACAACTAACCGGAACTTTCACAGAATGTTTGGGAAGGTCTCGTCGGGTCACTACGGAAGTTTCGAAGAATGCCCACAACATCAAAAGAAAACCTAAGCGAGATTTGAAACTTACTCTATTAGCTGTGAGACTCACCTACTCTCCTATGCGCTACAACTAGCATGCTCGATAATGCACTCTTGTTGTGACGAGGCAAAATCATAAGAGACAACACATTCAATACCCTGCGGAAGTGCTGGCATGTCAAAGTGCTGCGGAACCGCGGGCATTTTTGGGAAGTTTCGCAGCGCTTTGTAAAAAATTTTTCTGAAGTTCCCATTTTCAACAAGTATGACATGAAAACGCTGCGGAAGTTCCCATTTTCAACGTTTCCACTTTTGCGACAATAAACAAACTCCTACGAAACCACCGCAAATTTTGCTTGTCCTGCAGAAGTTCCGGTGAATTGTCTGCGTATTACACGCAACTATCGATGCACATTCCCCTAAGTGTTTGGTACTACCAAGACGCAGCTGCACTTTTTATTGTGTTGGCTCAATGATAGGAGTCTGCCGCATAACCAGGGTCAAGCGTGGGGTGCGGCACGCCACACCTGGGGGGTCGTATTGAGGAGTCAAAAGGGGAGGGGGTCGTATTTGGGTAATCTGATAATAATGATAACATGATATTTGTATCATATCCATAACTAGCATGTCAATTAACCCCTGCAGACAAAGTGTGAGCGAATTCTGAAGATGCAAGATACTAGGCTACCTAAATGAAATGGTCAAATTCCAACATGGTTAACTTTGTTTCAAAGGTGAATTAGCTATCTGTTTTTGCACTCAAGACAAAGCACTACTCCTTCTTTGTCCATCTCAGGAATCCCGCTTCAGAAGACCTGCAAACTATGGAATTAGAAGCCAACCAAAATCTCGTTTTTCCCATTTTTCGCTTTTGGTCGCTGTGCTTTCACCAAATATTACTCAGAGCTAAGAAGACGAATCAGGCTCCAAACAGTCCTGTGGAATCTACAAGGTTTAGGCTATCGATTCATATAAACACTGTCCGCAAAAAATGTTTTTTTGATATAATTAATGGGGTGCGGCACACCCCCTTAACTTGCCTTCAAAATCCAGAAAGCGCTCCATTGCTGGTATGAGTATTGAGCACATAGCTTCTTCTTGCTATACTGGAAATTTGGAGCCAAACGCCCCACCCATAAGAAAATTATGGCCCTTTCAATATGCCCATTCAGATCAAAACCAGCCGTCAAATTACGTGTGATTGTAAAGTGCAGTCACAGAAAATCGGGCGTACAGCTCTCAGAAATATGAAAACTCTCTAGAAAAGGCTGGTGTCCTCCAGAATGTCACACTTTGAGGTCCAGAGGTTAAGAGGAGGAAGAAGGGGTCGTTTGAGGGCTTTCATGGGAGGGGGGTTGTTTTCAAAAGACTTGTGCCTGACCTCTTTCTCAACTCTGGTAATGCTATCTTAGGTATATAGTCCAGGGGGGGGGGGGTCTTATTAAGATAGCAATTAGGGGGGGGGGTCGTAACCAGCGATCGTGTGCCACACCCCTTGCTTGACCCTGCGCATAACCATGCCTATTCGTTATGCATAAAGTTGGATAAAGAGTGTCGTGTGAAATTCTCGAAAATATAAGTTATAACAAAAAGCTGTAGGCAAACGTACTTCAGACGTTTTTTTGATAAAAAAAAGGACAAGTGTGTGGACAATCGGTATCGTTGCTACAATTTGCAATTCGAGAAGTTTATTGTTTTCCAAATGACAATTGTCATCTATGCAGTTTGGAGGCGAGATAGCTAATTCGAAATCTCCTAGATCTCTTTCTTTTTGGCTTTGGTTTTTTATTTTTCTTCTTTTGTGACGCCTTGGCTTCTTCTGTCCCAACAGACAATAGTGGAAGCAGTTCGTGTAAGCTACAAAGTTCTGGGGGTGCCGTTCTGCACAAAGCTGATTGCACTCGAAATGCAGAAATATACTCTGTAAACGCAGAGTTACAAAGAATAAACCTACTCCAAATGCGGTGGGGGCATGGGAAAACACATTGTCAATGACACTTCTTAGACATGATTGGCCGAAGCATGCGATTAAAATGCAGCCCTTAGCAGCATGTACATTCAGCAAGATCAAGATGAGCAGTAAGTTGTATGGCATTTCTTTCTAAAAATTAATTTTTTTTATAAAATATAACAAATCACATAAAGAGACAAAACATTTTCACAAGCTCAAGCACAAGATCTAGTGTCATTGGCTTGCTTGTTTCATGAAGGTTTTTGAGTTAAGTCGTTTAGAAGGTTTGTGCCGTTTTTTCGATTCATTTTGAAAACCCAGCCGGTCATCACTTCTCGATGTTCGAGTATTATCAAATTCAAACGACTCATCTTCCCCCCCCTCCCGCTCATAGGAATTAGTAAATGCTCTTGTAAACTCAAATTTTCCCAGTGATTCAATTATTTTCGAAGTTTTCGCTATCGGGGTGCAAATTTTTACGATAGGGGGTAGAGCAAGCGTTCAACACAATGCTTTCTCAATTCTCTGCATTTAGAAATTCTGAAAATTTCATTTTAGAATTCATCACTTCTAGATGTTCGATTGTCTAAAATATCAAAAATAACAATGTCTCGAAACTCAATTACTGCTAAACGACATTTTGCAATGTATAAGCACTTGCTGCTTCAAAATCTCGAAAATTCAAGTTTTTTGGATGCATGCCTGCGCATTTTCAGAATGGCTTTACGACTACTGACCTGCGAACCTGCATAGATTGTTGACATCCTTCTATAACAGAAAAATAGCAACGTATTGATTAGCACTTTTTGAACCGGCCTTTAAATTCGTTGCAGGAGTGCGCCTACCGTATCGCAGGCCTAAATTTTTGTTTTTGGGTTCTTTTTTCTCCGTTCTTTTTGAATATGTTGCACTTTTTCTTGTATTTCTCTTTTGCAACCTTGGTAGTCTATCATTTAGTACATGAGTTTGTGGCTCCAGCTTGCGCATACTATTTGGTAGTTTGTTTTTTGTTTTGAATTTCACCTTTTTTATTTGTCTGACTGTAGGTTTTTGTTTTGAATTTCTCCTTTTTTGTTTGGCTGTATTGTCTGCTATCTCTTGTTTAATCTTTGCAAGCGCTTTATTGATACTCTTCACTCTGAAAGCCGTGATCAGCGTATTAGGTTTTATCCTATGAACTGTGAAAAAAACTAATTATGCCCTCACTCGAGAACATCGTGCTGTTTATTCTCAATTTCTTTCCGTTGCTTCCGTTCTCGAAAGTTGATTCTCTTTTCTAATTTTGCCTCCGCTTTTTGCGCTTCAGATGCGAATAACAAGCTTCACGTTTTTTGGTGAAACGAAGAAAGAAAAAAACACTGTTTACTCTGAGATTACCGAACTTTACTCGATGATGACACCATAGCTCTCTAAGAATGAAAAAAAATGAATTTGAAGCTTTAAATTAGCATAAAGAGATAAGGCTACAGGGTGTGCATGAAAAGCAAGACAATACTCTCTTGTTCAGTCTTTGCAAGCGCCTTATTGATACTCTTATCTGTGAAAGCCGTGAAAAAACTGTGAAAAAAAACTAATTATGCCCTCACTTGAAAACGTCGTGTTGTTTTTTCTCGTTCTTTCCTTCGCTTTTTTCAAAGCATTCTGCTTCTGCTTCCGCGTTTTGTGCTTCAGATGCGAAATAACTACGTTATTTAACTACGTTATTACGGCGTACCTGCATCCATACTTTCTTCAGGTTCTTCTTTATTGACCTGGCATCTTCAGCACTGTGGTGAGTATCAATAACCAACCCTTATGTCTCTTCTAAGCTCTTCTCTTCCTGAAGAAAAAAGCTTGACTTAATAGGATGAAAGAGGAGACTATGCGCAAAATCCGCACATGTTACGACGCTTTTGTACTTGAGTTTTCTTCCCCTTTCAGTCTTCTGCTTTCGGGTTTTACGAGGTACAGGTGTCAGGTAGCGCGACGTGGTTTGAAACTTGCTGTTACTGGATTGTGTGGAAGCTCTACGGGGAAGTAATGGTAAACATGACTTTTCTTGGTCTGTAGAAAATATTTAAATCTCCTTGCAGTCGAAGTGGAATTGGACAATCATTGATGAGCGAATCTCATCATGGGATACTGGTGAGAATGACGTGACCATAAGGTTCCCTCCTTATTTCTCTGTACTGGTGACTTTTAGAGTGAACCGCGTGTGTCTCGTCCTATTGTGAAGGTGGAGACGCAAATGTCAAGATTAGCCGCAGAACGAGTTTGCTCAGTAATTAGCAGACAGGGAAGTCTAAAAAGTCTTAATCTGGACGACACAAAACCTGTGGAGGTACGGATTTGTACACCTTGTTTATTTTTGTTTGTACTCTCTCGTAATATGTGCATTCGATAACCAAAAAATCATAGATTGATGCGGATCGGCCATACCGTATGTGGTACCCCGAGGAAATGCCGAAACGAAAATTGAGGTAGGAGGGGTTGTTTTATAGTAAACCGAACATGGAGGTCGCGAAAGATGTGAAATGGCAGAATATTTTACCGCATAAAGGTGTCGCAGAGGAAGTGATGGTAAGAATTTGGAAGTAATGAATGGTTGAAACGCCTTATACCTAAAGAAGTTTGCAAAATGAAGAGCGTTCTTGCAGATCCGTGAACAACGTTTGCGGTCTGATATAGCAATAGGTCCGAATGCGAGGCATCGGCTGGTCGATCATATAAGTAAGAACTGTAGGATGAATGTGAATAAGTCGTATACGGTGCGTGTTTTCATTCCGCAGAAAAGGAAAGAGATTTTATGCATACCATTTTAGGTAGATGATCTGGTGACATTGAGCCACCTCTACTTCTTGTCTACAACTGCTGCGAGGGTATTAAAGGCAGCGTCCAGGCAGATCTGGACCTATGGGGCTTTTACGTAGAAAGTACTTTTGGGGCCCTAACTAAGGCACTGCCCAAACGGCAGCTCAGGTAGTGCTCTAATGGCTGAGATATTCCCCTCGAAACTGGCCCCCGCGAACGTATTCGCATGGATTCATGGCAGTTTCGCGCCAGGATCCACGCTTTGCGCCATGAATCCATGCGAAACACGGTCACGGGGTCCAGTTTCGAGGGGAATATCTCAGCCAATACAGCACTTCCTGAGCTGCTGCTTGGGCAGTGCCTTAGTTAGGGCCCCAAAAGTACTTTCTACGTAAAAGCCCCATAGGTCCAGATCTGCCTGGACGCTGCCTTTAACAACTTGCAAGATGTGTAGGAATCTGGAGAGGGTATATCTTGAGATGAAGAAAATAACTTTTGTCTCTCTCATCTACTTTTATCTAGGAGAACGTAACGTGATGATGGAGGTTAAATTAGAGAAAGTAGCTGAAAAGATGCTGCGGAATACATTGCTGAGGTAAGTACTTTCTGGTGTACGGAAAAGCAGTTTTGAATTAAGTTCTCTTTTAGGCTGATTGTGGAACACAACATTGCTGATAACATGTTGTCAAAGAACGACGTTCTCATAAACTACAAAGATATGAACCACACGAACTCCTTTGGAATTATCAGAGGAGTTCAGTTTGCTTTGTTCATCGTACAGGTAAGTGCTGAACCTTGAGTGCTCAGAATTATGATTTTGGCTTTTCAAAACGGGTGTAAGTATCTCATTTTCAATACTACGGTTTGTTGCTCGATCTCCTCATTCTCGGTCTGCGACGAGTATCTGAGATTGCTGGCGCGTCACGGTGTCCCAATGAGTTTTTAACGTTCCAAGTGAGTATTTATTCTTTTAGCTCAGCTCCCAGTACTTGTTTTTTACTCCATTCCTTGGCAGGATATTGCTACGGAAACAGTGCATCTCATCCGTCTATACTGCAGATATAATGGCAGGGTGTGGATTATGTTCAGGTAGTATTTTTTGCAAGTGTGCTGGTAATCATTAGTTATTGCATTACAGGTTTTCTGCTGACAAAGCACGTGACCTGATTCAGCGATACCTTACTGAGCATCCTGATCCAAACAACGAGAACGTGCTTATCGTACAGGTACGTGCTGGACCTTGAGTGCTCAGAATTATGGTTTTGGCTTTTCAAAACGGGTTTAAGTATCTCATTTTCAGTACTACGGTTTGGTGCTCGATCTCCTCATTCTCGGTCTGCGACGAGTATCTGAGATTGCTGGCGCGTCACAGTGTCCAAATGAGTTTTTAACGTTCCAAGTGAGTATTTATTCTTTTAGCTCAGCTCCCAGTACTTGTTTTTAACTCCATTCCTTGGCAGGATATTGTTACGGAAACAGTGCATCTCATCCGTTTATACTGCAGATATATTGGCAGGGTGTGGATTATGTTTAGGTAGTATTTTTTGCAAGTGTGCTGGTAATCATTAATTATTGCATTACAGGTTTTCTGCCTTCGAAGCACATGACCTGATTCAGCGATACCTTACTGAGCATCCTGATCCAAACAACGAGAACATTGTTGGCTACAATAACAAGAGATGTTGGCCTAGAGATGCTAGAATGCGTCTAATGAAGCACGATGTAAATCTGGGACGAGCTGTATTCTGGGATATCAAGGTTTGTGACTTATGCATTTGAGGGTTTGAAGGTCTCTTATGTTTTTATTTCAGAAACGTTTATCTCATTTGGTGACCACCATTGAGTGGGGGTATGCTTTTGTATCAGTGTACGGTAAAGACAACAGAATCTGCAGAATCTTACCTAATTGTCGTACAAGGGCTGAGGAGATCAGTCATAGAGGCCGAAACTGCAGAATGAGGTGGTTACATTGTTTTATGCCATTCATCAACTATCAGAAGTAGTTGTGAGTAACTCGCTATGCATTGCTTTTCTGCCGTTTTTTAAAATTAATTTGTCATTTTCTTTTTATTCAGAAATTTGCAATTGACTAATTTACAAGATGATACTTGCTTCAGGTCACCAAAGAACGTACTGCACAGTGTTTCCTGAAAGCCGATGAAGAATCCATGTCCAAGTTCCATAATAGAATCCGACAGATTCATATGTCCTCTGGATCAATCAACAAATGGAACACCGCTCTGATTGGTCTAATGACCTGCTATGGGTATTTTGCCTTTATAGTTTTTATTGCGGTCATCTGAAAGAAAGGAACTTTTATAGAGAAGCTGTGGTCAACACGCAGTAACTATTGAGTTTTATCCGTTGATACTCATTGGTCATTATTTTGTTGACTTCTCATTTCAGGTTGTATTTTTGCTCAGATATGTCTTTATATATACATTAATTTGATAGTTTTTTCGCTTTGCTAGCTTTTTCCGACCTGGTTATATATTCTTGACATGTAGTTGTTGATATTATTGTTGCTGTGTGTTAAAATGCTATAAAATAGTTGAATGTGTTTATCTTGCTATAAACGGTATACATACAGGATAGACGGAGGGTCAAGGAAGTAATTTCTTACACGAGTACTTCACTGGGCCGCTAGTACGGCAGAAAAAGGAATAAAAAGTGCATCACATGCCTGCTTTTTCATCTAGGGCTTTGATGAAAAATATTAGAAAATTTTTTCTAAAAACAATGAAGTTTAGCAGTAAGATGCAAAAAATTCCCACGGCACGATGGCTACGATTTTCTGTTATTACATTTCCTCAAGTTTTGAATTACATTCGGTCAAGTTGCGTAAAGAAAACTCTACAGTTTGGCTAATGTTGACGTGTTAAAAAAGATCGCTTTGCAACTTGAGCAATTACTTGGGTAGGTAGTAAACCTGTCGGAACTCAAATTATAACTTTGAATTAACTCTAAGTTATAGGGGCCTGCAGGATCGCGAGAGTCGGACGCGCGTACGGCCTTTGCGCCGCGCACGCCTGCGCTGGGTCGTAGTCGATTAAGGCTAGATAGGTAAGTTTTTTTTGTTTTTCTTTACATTTCACGCCTTTTCTTTTCAGACGGTGAGCACATGTTGGTGCGGAGGAGTTTAAGATCTGAATTAAGGTGAGGTGCAGGATTATGCTCAATACGGACTCAATATTGCAGACCTTCCATGCCTGCTGGTTGAGATGTTGGATTTTCTGTCCTGGCTGCCCTGTTACAGCAAACTGTTCTATTTTTACCGTCTATTCTACCTTATCTTGCATATTGCTTGTGATGATGATGATGATGATGACAATGATTATGATTGTGATGACGCGCATGATGCAAGATGAGGTAGAACAGACTTTGCAAATAAAACGGAGTTTCGTAACCGGGCAGGCAGGACGAAAAATCGAACATAATCGGACAGCCAGAACAGAAAACTCAACATTCTTCAAAGCAGGGGTGAAAAGTCCACAATATTGGCCCGCATTGAGCATAATCCTGCACCTCACCTTAATCTAGATCTTAAACTCCTCTGCACCAACATATGTTCGCCGCCTGAAAAGAAAAGAAGGCGAGAAATGAGAAGAAAAACAAAAAAATCTCACCTATCCAGCCTAAATCGAGTACGACCCAGTGACATACGACGTGCGCGGCGCAATGGCCGTACGCACGTCCGACTCTCGCGATCCTGCAGGCCCCTATATCTCTGGGCTAACGCGCAACTTTTTAACCCCTTAACATGTGCTTAACAAAACAAATCTCGAAAGCGAGACAGAATATGGCAGGAGATACGTGACCGAAAGTTTATTCCTGGTAGAGCAAAATTGTCCAGATCGTTCTGCACATGAAACACCGCCATCAAACGCACAACTGAGCTCTGCGATATTCTGGATTTGGTGCGCGTTCCAGTCTATTGTGGAGCTCAGTGATAACTCTGAGTTTAGTCAGCGAAAGAGAAGGAATGCGCAAAAGAAGAGGCGCAGCTAAAATGTCTTCCGGAATACATTTTACTTGGAATTTCAACAAGAATGGAGTATCGTGGTGTGCAGTAATTTGCAAAAATTGAAATTTTATAATATTCTGACCCAGGGTTATTCGGTGCGCTGATCACGAATAGGTACTCATTTTTCACCATAGGGTCATATAGCCAGTCACGGTAGGTTTACGGTAGGCAGGAGAAAATCACAAAAATCTCCAAAACTACCGGTGAGGTTATCCGAGGCGGTGATCACGAATATGGCATTCATGTTATACTGCGGTGACATCAGGCAGACGTTACGTTCGTCTACGGGAAGTGAGTTAAAGCGGCTTACGGACATCTACGTCCCACGTACACTGTTGCCATTTGAGGCGATCGCAGTAGGTAAGTAGGTATACGGTAAGTGCGACGAAGTCACAAAAATGGCTAAAACTAAACCCAGGTTTTAGCGCGCCAACCACAACTTACAAAACCTTTCATACGGCGGTGCCATACAGCGGGGATATGATAGGCATACGGTAAGTGGGCCTAAATTATAGTGTAGGAACAAACTTTTCGCGGAGGGTTTATTCTGTGCGCAAATCACACTAGTAAAATCTTGTCATTGCATATGCCATCCGCTCTCCTTATTATTTGAAGCCTTGAGATTCGTAAACTAACTTGTGCCATAAACTACCACTTTCGACATAAATAATGAGAGAGGCTTTGATATAACAAGTTTTGACATGCTTTGTGTTAATGCAGTGAGAGTGCATTATGGCAGAGCAAGAGATTGAAGGGTGTGTCATGGCCTAGCGGTTCAGTAATGGATCATTACGCTAGACCGAACAGGTTCAAGTACCAACTTTAACTTCGCTTTTGCAGCAAAGTGCATAACAGCTCCTCAAACAACAAAACTCCGAGCTTGAGAGTTGGTACCGGAATTCTAAAAGAGGAGCTCAGAATTTCAATAAGCATAACTCTGAGTTTCAAAAACGGAACTCGGAGTCATCTCTGAGTTAACAAGAAACTTATAACTCGGAGTTTCGACCAAATTACTACAGACCCAGGTCTTTTCGCGCCTCAAAAGAGAAAAGCAAGAGAGGGGAAAAAAAAAAGAAAAAAGAGGAAAAGAGAATAACAGCAAAAAACAGCAAGAGAGAATCTAAGCGAAATTTGAAGCTTACTCTATTGACTGTGAGACTCATGCGCTACAACTAACATGTTCGATAATGCACTGACTCTTGTTGTTGGCGAGGCAACATCATACGAGACAACACATTCAAAACCCTGCGGAAGTGCTGGCACGTCAAAGTGCTGCAGAACCGCTGGCATTTTTCGAAAGTCGCAGCGCTTTATAGAAAGTCCTGCGAAAGTCTCCGTTTTCAAACAGTCTAACATAGGAATCCTGCGGACGTTCCCATTTTCAACGCTTTCAGTTTTGCAATAGTAAACAAAATCCCGCGGAAACACTGCAAATTTTTCTTGTCCCGCGGAAGTTCCGGTAATTGTCTGGGTATAACTATCGATGCACATTCACCTAACCGTTTGGTACTACCAGGACAAAGCTGCACTTTTCATTGTGTTGGCTCAAATAAGAGCTCTTCCGCATAACTGTGCCTATTCGTTATGCTTGCACAAAGAGTGCCGTGTAAAACTTTCGAAAATAAGTTATGACAAAAGCTGTAGACAAACGCACTTCAGACGATCTTTTGATAAAAAGGCAAATGTGTGAACAATCGGTTTCGTTGCTAAATACACTTGTAAAATTCGAGAAATTTATTGTATTCTGAATGACAATTGTCATATATGCAATTTGGAGGCGAGATAGCTAACTCGAAATCTCTTAGACCTCTTTCTCTTTGGTGGCTTTGGTTTTTTATTTATCTTGATTTTTATTCTTATGCGACGTCTTGGCTTCTGGGAGGACCTCAACAGACATCTGTGGAAGCAGTTAGTGTAAGCTATAAAGTCCTGGGGGTACTCATTTGCACAACGCTGATTGCACTGGAATGCAGAAATATACTTGGTAAACGCAGAGTTAAGAATAAACCTACTTCAAATGCGGTGGGGGCATGAGAAAACATATTGTCAATGACACTTCTCAGACATGACATGCCGAAGCATGCGAGTAAACCACCACAGCAGCCCTCAACGGCATGTGCATTCAGCAAGATCAAGATGAGCAATAAGTTGCTTGACATTTCTTTCTAAAGTGTAATAAATAACATAAAGAGACAAAACATTTTCACAAGCTAAACACAAGATCTAGGCCTTTGGCTTGCTTGTTTGAAGGCTTTTAATTGAGTTTTTTGAAAGGTCTGCGCCGTTTTTTCGATTCATCATGAAAACCCAGCCGGTCATCACTTCTCGATGTTCGAGTATTATCAAATTCAAACGTCCAAAATCGTCTAAATATCAAAAACAAAATTATCTCAAAATTCAATTACTGTTAAAGGACATTTTGCAATGTATAAGCACTTGCTGCTTCAAAATCTCAAGAATTCATTTTTGAATGCATGCATGCGCATTTGCAGAATGGCTCTACGACTCTTGAACCTGATAAATCTGCATAGATTGTAGACATATGGTGTAAAAGGAGTAAAAAGCGCATCACATGCTAGATTGTTCATCTAGGGCTCTGACAAAAAATAGCCCGAAAATGGATTTGATTATATTGAATTTTCTAAAAATAGTGAAGTTTAGCTGTAAAATGCAAAAAATACTTCCCATCGCATGGTGCTTGTTATGATTTTCTATTATTACATTTCCTCAAGTTCTAATTACATCTGCTCAAGTTCCATTTACAAGTTGACGACGAGCCATTTTTTTTGAGGTCTGTCCCTGTAGACGAGACGTTTTTGTGCATCTCTACGTCTGTCCGCATGTATGTATGCATGCATCCACGCACGAAATATGAAATGTGCAAGCCCCGCTCCCATGCGGCAAGCTCCGCCCACTCGGCTAAGAAATTTCCCAAATTTCAAGAATTCGTACCACTTCCGCCACTTTTGAAAAATGAGCGGAGCTTGCCACTTGAGGGGCGGAGTCCTGACGGTGGGCGGGGCCCGGCTCAAAGTTGCTTGAGGTCTTTGCGTTCATCCACGGCCTCATCCATGCTTTTTATGAACAAAAGTGGAACACTAGTTGATATTCCAGACTGTCACCTACG